GTTATGTTACGTATTTTTTATTTGCTTTCAGAAAGAATACTTTCGAAGACATATTGATTTGAAATATCGCTTGACGTCACTTTTGAGTACGATTTATTACTCTAAAATGATTTAGCTACCACTGATAAACTTTGATTCATTTTATCTAAGTATTGTTTTAATCAATACATAGTATAAAACAAAGTCGCTTTCGCTGTATGTCCGTATGTATGCTTAGATCTTTAAAACTACGCAACGGATTTTGATGCGGTTTTTTTTAATAGATAGAGTGATTCTTAAGGAAGGTTTGTATGTATAATGCATGCATATTGCACCCGTGCGAAGCCGGGGCGGGTCGCTAGTATACGATAAAATAAAAAAGATACGTGTCTAATATTTTTTCATTACCTATGACGGACTAGATTTTTAATTTTCATACCCTGTTATCATCCCTATTATACTTCACTACAAATACTATGTAAAGTGACAGAGATGGCACGATATTTAAGTACGACTTAAAATTGAGTAAACTTTCGGTATTTAGGCCTATAGCACCCTCAATCAAGTATGTAAGATTAGTTTGATAAACGTAAGTATGGGAGAGCCATGCTTCGACACGAATGGGCCGGCTCGACCGGAGTGATACCACGGCCTCACAGAAAATCGAAGTGAAGCAACGCTTGCGTTGTATTTCGTCGTGTGGATGAGGTTATCGAAGGCCCAATTTGCCTCCCCCCCTCCCCGATCTTCCCAATCCCTAAATCCCAAATTATTCTCAAATCCCTAATGCCCAAAAGGCCGGTAACGAACTTGTAACGCCTCTAGTGTTCTGGGTCTCCATGGGCGGCGCCGATTGGTTACCATTAGGTAATCCGTCTGCTCGTTTACCAGTTTAGAAGCGAAAGAGGTATGCCAGAATCGTATCTTTTGGCGTTCTATTTTTTTTAAGAGATACTTGTTATAATTACGTAACGACATATGTCTTTGGTCCGATTTTTCCAACGCCAGTCAAGTTTTATCAGGGGAATAACTTTGAGTATAATTATGACAATTCTTCCATACCATAAACTGTCAAATGTCAATTTTATTCCACAGTTAAAGAACATATTATTTAATGTTCTAAGAATTATCTCTCGTTTGAAAAAACTGCCCTAATTACGGACCAGCGGCGACCGTCGCGCATACTAATCATATGCATTCATATTTTATCTAATATTAACTAGCATCTACACAATTTTATGAAATAATTAATTGAATTAAAATAAATAGGCATGATTTGGTATCACATTAAATTATTGTCATTTTGATAAAAATGTAATATAATTACGTAAATCGTTCTTGTATCAACATAGACATTACTTAGCTAGCTTGACAATGGCACTTATACAATAATATTCAAGTAATACATATTGTGTTAAAAGTAAATACAGACACAAAACGTGTTCGCATCAAAACCAGAGTATATTAAAAGCTCAGATTTGGAAAGTTCATAAGTTTGTTGCAACTACACGTTACAGCAACCGTTGCTACGTCAATTAGAACATGAAATTAATATACTAATTACTGTATCAAGCGTTGCTGCAACGTGGTGCGTTCAGTGTGGCCGGAACATTAAATATGGCGTACAATCAGTAAAATTTGAATTTCAGAAAATTATTGAATATTTTATATACACTTTTGTTTGAGCACCTATTTATTTTAGTAACTTTATTTACATTATTTACAGATCTGTTTACATTAATTGTACAGTCTTGTGATGTTGTGACGTAATCAGGAGCCACATAAAGACATCCACACTGATTTTATATAGATACTTTAGGTAACGTTAAGAGTAAAACTTATAATAACAATGGATATAATTCTCTAAAATAAACAACAAAAAAGTAGTTTTAAAAACAAAAATATTCCAAAATAAATACGTAAATATATTTGATAGTACGTTTGAATACTTGCGATTTGTAAATAATTTTAAGTTTACGATTTTATTGTCGAGCCTACTTAATATTCGACCAAATATAATTGCACGAATTCAGTGTGATATGGCCATGATAACACTACCTATTTGATTTCGCAGTGTTCCTACAATCGAATTAAGTAACTAATTGATGAACTTATTTCATAAAGTATTTTTAAATTAAGTTTAGGAACAACATTCCACAGGAACATTTTATTGAGTTCCATTTTTAATACATCGCTACGTGTATTATGCGGTCCTGGTAACAAATATAATAAATGTAGTCGAACTCTTAGTAAAAAGACGATTTTTACAAAGGTATCTTTCGCAATAAAAAAAAAACAAATATAATTCGTTCGAATTTGCGCTAAATCACTAAATTGCCTATTCAGTCAAATCAATTTATATCTTCAACACAACGGCTGTCTAAATTTATTATTTTACTTTTTTTTTCAGATTTTCGTTATGTTTGGATAAGATGCAATTATTTTTGTAAAAATAAGCTAAATTCCTATTTACTTTTATGATCCTCCATTGGCAGTGATGGTTACTTAGAACTAAAGCTGGATGTACCAGGCTCACATAAAGGAACAGATGTATGTAATTTGCTAAGGGAAACGTATTACTGTGGTACCGATCGCGTCGTCACTGCACGCGTGCGCGAGTGCGCTCTCGAACTCTTGTGGTAGGTATACCTGTACAATAAGAAAGAACTCGTTAACATTCATATTCGCCTGGTGTTCTTGCTTTTATATTCTTACTTTTTAGAGCAATAGGCAAGTTTGCAAAATAGGAAATCTGATTATAAGGACAGATAATTCTTATCTGTAGAACAAAACTGCCTGTCGACTGCCTCGTTGGCCGAGTAGTCGCGAGTGCGACTGCCGGGCAAGGGGTCTTGAGTTTCAATTTCCGGTTCGGGCAAAGTACTACGGAGTCTAAATTGTACCCGGAATACGGCTCATCCCTACATGGGACTCATAACATAAATAGTGAAATGTGGGTGTTACATTGTACAGTGGCATTAAGTGCCGTAATGTTCACCTCTGCTTACCCCTTCGGGAATAAAAGGCGTGATGTTATGTTGTTAGAATAAAATTGACAGAATTTGACAGTTATTAGTGTCATGAAAGTCATTGTCAATTATTCAAAATTATTCCTCTGGTTCCTTACCTAGCATTGGAAAAATTAGTCCTTTAACAAAATAGTTTGGCTATTTTATCTTACCTTATCAAGTATGGGCGCCATAGTACCGCGTTCTACGAGCTTGGCGAGAGTTTCTAAGCCCTCTCTTAGTCTAAATCGATCTTCTAGCCAATCTGTATTGGAACCACAGCCTACCAGCCACTGTAAACAAATAGAAGAATATAAATATTATCAAAATAGAATCACACTAATATTATAAATGTGAGTATCTTTGTTCGGATGTTTGTCCGTCAATTACGCTGAAATTAATGAACGAATTTTGATGAAATTTGGTACGGGCTGACAGGAATACGCGGGCGAAGCCGCGGGTAAAAGCTACTATAATATAAAATTAAACATTTGTGCTTAACTCACCCTTAAGACTCTGAACGTGTAGAATGAAGTAGCGAATATTATGGCAAAAGGTGTCGGCAGTCGGTCGGTGATCAGCGGCCCCGGTCTCAGGTCGATGAAAGCTGTGCGCGATGCTTTTGCCCTGGTACCAAAATATTTTTTAGATACTAGAGGTAGAAAATTTTAGTTGTAAATACAATAGGGTATCGGTAGAATCAGTCGTGGTATTTGTATAAATAGTGCTTCTCGTGCATAAGAGTGCTGGTTTGAAACCTACCAACGGCAAGTACTAACATAACATCACGCCTTTTATCCCCGAAGGGGTAGGCCGAGGTGCACATTATGCCACTGTACAATGTAACACCCAGTTTTCACTATTTATGTTATGAGTCCCATGTAATAGGGGGTGAGAGTATTGCCATATACTGGGCACAATTCCAGACTCCGTGCTACAACTGAGATTTTTTTTTAAACCCAGTAACACTTCATTGCATCACCTAAAGGTTGGCTAGTAAGAATGCCCATGGCATTAAGCCCGCCTATGTACTATTGTTGCATGAAGTTAAATAAATAAATAAAAAAATAAAATAATACTTTGCCCGACCCGGGAATCGAGTCCGAGACCCCTTGCCCGGCAGTCGCACTTGCGACCTCTCGGCCAACGAGGCAGTCCGGCTAACGAGGCAGGCAAGTACTAATGTGAGTTATATGTATTTTCTAAGATTATCTAGACACCACTGACAAGTGACAAGCGGTGAAAGAAAACATCTTGAGGAAACTTGGGAAATGGCTGGGAATTGTTTGAAATCGCCAACCCGCATTGGTGATTAATCCTCAAACCTCCATGCAAGAAAGAGGCCTTCGGTCAGTAGTTGCTACTTACAACTACTGACCGAAGGCCTCTTTAATGATGATGACAATGGTGATCGGTAGAATAGAATATATTTCTCACTACCTCATCTCTTCCCACGGGTGTCGTAAGAGTCGACTAACAGACTCCATCAATGTATTGTATTTATCAGAGAGTGGGCAGCAGCGTTCTCTCTTTTTTTTTACGGAATAGGCAAACGAGCTGACGGATCACCTGATGGTTAGCGGTCAGCGCCGCCCATGGACACCCGCAACACCAGAGGAGTCACAGGTACGGTGCCGGCCTTTTAAAAAGGATTAATCTCTTAAACTTCATTCTTTTGAAATGCCTTTATTTACCAATTAGCTTGCCAAGCGTGTAGATTATGGCAAACCCTTCACTTGTCGAAGAGATCCATTCTACCAAACTCTCACGGTGATCATGGTGCTAAACTGACCCTTATGGGTCAGTTTAGCACAAAATTGACTTGACTTAATTGATTGGCTAGACATAATAAAGTTAAAATCAGTTCATACTTGAGTAATGCAGGTTTGTTGGCGAGTGCTATGGGCGGCACCTCTGCGGCGGCGCAGGCGAGCACTGCGTCCCACGGGCCGGTACGACGGGCGCGCGCCTCTAGGCTCGACCATGCTCCTGATTCCCTGTTACCTTCTATATCCACGAAGTCTGATGCGCCTGGGAACATCAACTAATATTGTTATTTTTTCTGTAATAATAATAGGTAGTACTAATTATTCAGTTAGTCAGTTAGAAAATGAAAAAAATATTAGATACATATTTTGTTATTCTCTTGTATGAAGTTACTTAGATAAAATGGAATTAAGAGAGGTCGTTATGTCACAACGTGCTACAAAATGTATCGATGAGACGTCACACGATATTTTAAATTAGTATATAGTATATTTGTTTTTCATCCCATTTTGTTTATTTAATTTAATTACATTCTTTGTCTTCTCTGTTTGCTTTTTGTTAATCTTTATTTAAATTAATTTATTATGTAAAGTCAATACTAGGTTCACAATGATACCATACACACATCACATCACAGATCACATGATACAGGTATTTCCCTAGTACAGAGGTCAGAGTTTTAATTTTGTACTACGACACTATGACTTGTATCAAATTAATGTATACTTTTTTACGTAATAAAGATTATTATTAATAAATAAAGATTATTATCGTCGAAAGTATTTTATTTTGTGAGAAAAGAAAAAATAGGTGTTTAATGTTTCAATTAATCTACCAGACGGACATTAAAATACAATTTAGGAAACTACCCCATTTTTCCACGTTTGTCGTAGGAGGCTACTACAGAGCAGATACAGAAAAGGATTACCTTATAAACAACGATCTCTAACTCGCTTGCCAACCAGGAGATAACGAAACCCCCTTTTTTAGAGGAGACTAGGACTGACAGGGACTCTGATGATGATGATTAGTGTGAATTATTTATTTCCCGCGGTTTCCATTTACCTTTTCCTTTTATCCTTTCATTACCACACCAAATCAAAATGAAAGTACCAGGCAAGTAGCAATAATAGAGAGGTGTTATTACCTAGGTCCTTGAGTGTGAGCGCGGCGTGTCGAGGCGCTACGACGGTGACGTGAACTCCCCACGTACTCAGTAGCTGTACTAAAGCACAACCTTCACCACTGGCCGCGCCACATATTGCTACCCTGGAATGTTACAATAAACAGTTAATATTTATTTCTATACATTCAATAAATAAGCTAAAACTTCTAATAACATGTCAGTGTTAAAAAAAATACTGCAAGAGTCCGGCATTTCGGCAGAAACACGGAATCAATTTTTAAAAGAGTACCTCTAAAGTTCGATCCAGTAAGGGGGATGTACGTACCGTTTTCCTTTAGAGTTCTCAGGTGTGTATGCGATGTTCCGGAGCGCCATTAAGGCTTCGCCCCCGGCCCAGGGCAAGGATGCCGCTGTATCGGCTGCGAGACCGCGAGGGCGCTTGCTCACTCGGGTACTAGGAGAACAAACATTTATAAGAGCTTTGTTATTATAGGTACAGGTATCTATGCGACATTGAAACTTTCTAATCGAGTTGGCCATGGATGAAATTATGTAATGTTGTTTTTACAGTCAAACACAGTCAGACAGAAGTCATATTACATATTTTCATCTTTTCAGGGCCGAGTTTTCAATCATCAGTTATTTCTTAAACTTAGAGTAGAATAAACATTTCACAGTTTTTAGTATCGAAGATTTGTCGAACATTGAAAGTTATGTCTTAGTTAAAATTTATCGGGGTTAGAAGTCCTAAAGAATGGTCGGAATGGATCCATTGAGGGAAAGAAACAGAGCTAAACAATTCGTCTAGCGAGATCTCGTTCCCTTAGCGAAACCACTCTGGCTTTAAGACGTCATAATACGCCACATGGCGTTGTTAAAACCGGCCCTAGGGGTGTAAAATAAATAATGTAGAAAAAAATTTGTATTGAATATGTACTTTTCAAGGTACTTCTTTAAAAAAAATAAGAAGTAAGGAATATTGGATAAAAATTAATAAACCTGCGAATAGTCAACAGCTCGGTGGCCGCGCCGCCACACCATTCCGAAACACATCCCCATACTTCGTCACCCATTTCTAAGTCCGTCACACCTTGACCTACGTCCAGCACCACACCTGGAAAACAAACAAACAATTTTTTTTGTTTTGAAAACTCACATTCACAGAAATTTCTATTTGTTGTTGTTAAGTATGTTATTTAAGCAAACGAAATATAAGTAAAAAGAGAGAAGGCTATCGACACACACATTTATTCGTCTTCCATTGTTTTACCAATTCGCGGGCTCCGCCACGCACATAGATAATCTATCACCATAGACTATACTATAACCATCGAGTATACCACAGATACACAACAGTTGTATAATGCTTTTCATTATACAAAAAATACAAATTTCTTGATTATGAAATATTATTAGACTGCCTCATTGGCCAGGTTCGATTCCCGGGTTGGGCAAAGTATTACTGGGTATTTAAAAATAAATCTCAGTAGTAGCACAGAGTCTGTAGCTCTGTAACGCCCTGTCGGAGGATGGTATGGGCGATGTCAAGCGAGAGCCCTCTTCGTCATATATATCGGTAGAGGTATGTTTATGCAGTAATAAAACAATTAAATCTTCGTAAATAAAGTAACGTTTACTTTCGACAGTGCACCTTTACTTGTTCGCATTTTAATTAAGTCGGCATTTCCTACGGACTACTCTGAGAAGAAACGCCGAAACAAACTCAGAGGTCTCAGTCCCTTTCAAAGTTCACAAATGGTCAAAATACATCAAAGTTTAGTCCACTTACATTGTAATAATATTCACAGTTATAATCTCAAACAATATAATGTCAATGACAATTTCACAGCACTGATTCTGATGATTGCAATCATTATTCGGCCGACAGCATTCCCAGTGCGTCGTTGTTCGTTCGGAGTCCCAGCCAAGAGTGCCTGCTGTTCTGCGATGTTGAAAGTCACTCAATCTCCCCCACTCTTAGGCGGACATGACGTCACAATTAACTCTTGAAGCGCGCCATCTTTATTCATTTTTTTGTTATTCCTTCGTTTTGTAGTAAATCGAAATCTCGTACTAATGACCGTTCCGACAGCCCCGTATATGGCAATAGGTTCACCACCTATTACACAAGACTCATAACATAAATAGTGAAAAGTGGGTGCTACATAGTACAGTGGCATTAAGTGCCGTAATATGCAGCTCTGCCTACCCCTTCGGGGATAAAAGGCGTGATGTTATGTAGAAATTTTTTTTATTATCATGATCTGAATGTCTTCTGAACAAGCCGTCCTCCTTTGTGACAATCCCCACGCTTGCCAGGCTGTTTGGGGATTACAATTATATCCCCGAAAAATTTTAAGGATACTGGGCGCAATTTTAAATGTTCATTAGACATATTTAGAAAATTAAAATTAATTTAAACAAATTAAAACGCGTCAAATTAGATTCATTATACTGACTTCAGGGACCAGGCGCACATAACAATCCAGGAGCCTTACCTGCGAATCCTCTCCCGACAGTGACGTATCCCCGGTACAGTAGCGAGCGCAGTAGGTGAGCGCGGCCACGCAATGCCCCTCGGTCCACCGTACATATGCTGAATGCTTGCACCCGTACTAACACCTCGCCTGTTCCCGCACCTAGAATATTTAAAAAAGTTAATTATTTAAAAAAAATACTTTCGTTGCCATATTTTTCTATGATGATGTCTAGGTGATGACACTGATGTACGGACTGTCGTTGTTCCTGAGCTACTGATTTTACAAAAATAAAAAACGTAGTGATAACATCGCTACTTATCTTTAGTCATTTTTGATCAGTTGTTACTATAGAACCTGGCTCAAGTGTGTTGCAGTGGCTAGAAATGTCCAAGAAAGAAAAATAAAACGCTAATTTACCAGGAGCGACAGCATCTTCAACAAGTATGACGGACTGGTCGGCTTGTGAGTGCAGTGCGCGCGCATGAGGTCCGCCATGTTGTCTCCGCGATATCTTCAGTCCCAGCAACACGCCCGCGCTACCGCCCGCCACCACGCCGCAAGCGAATATTAGCATACTGCGACGCCATACTGGAAATAACGAACATTATTTATACATTATTCTATATTGCCTGCAATAAATATGCAACATGGACCAAAAAAAAAAAAATATACTAGGCAAGTTCTGATTAGGAAAGTTTTTTTTTCTTGGCATAAGGCAATAAAAAAGCCTGCGGATCGCCTAATGGTAAGCAATTGGCGCGGCCTATGGGGGTGACCACCACCAATGTGTTGCCGACCTTTTGGGGACTGGAGATTGGTGATTAGGAGTACGCCTTCAGTAACCCCACTCACGTTGTTTAATGCCAGTTTTCGGTGAGTGTCTCCTTTAACCCTTGGTATGCCGGAAAAAAGATATATGCGAGACATAATGCGTTTTCTATCGCATCTCATATACCGGCAGATTAGAGGTTAAATAAACTGAATCTCTACTGAGCAAAGGCCTGCGTCTACACTAATGATTTATATAAACATACTAAAATGGATATTTATCATACCAACCTCTATCGTGCCACAAAGCCACTAGCTCTTCATAGAGTAGTACGGGCGAGAGTGGTGGAGCACCCTCACGTATGCGGCGCACTGCCTCCCGGGTCCAGGCGGCCGCGCGCTCGCGACCCTCCGCGATCAGCTCGTTGTGCCAAATGTCGTGAAATGCTTCACGGATCTAACATATTTAGAAAACACATTCGATGAGAAGTCCAAATTATTATTTGTATAACCCTACACATACATAGATAATATCTTTTGATTGTTAAGACTTTGACTGCCAATAAAAAATTGTTGAAAGTAAATACTCTAACGCCGGTCACCGGTGACCCCCATAGCGTTTAACGTGAAAATAAAAGGTATGTATGTACAGCTAAGTCTACATTGCACTTTCAATTAAATAGGATACAAACTGGCAATAGCTAAATTCCCTGCAGATAGATACCATGGAACTGCACCTTAGTATAATTTATCATAATTCTTAAACTCATACTATAACATATTTTTTTTTATGGGACAAGCCCGCCATATCCTCCCAAAACCACTGCAACTCCTGTAAGCCAGGATCTACAATAGATTCAACCATGAAAACACCGGAACGCTGAAGTCTAGCTGGTCACAGAGACAGCCTTGGTTCCCGCAACGAAATGAATCAGAAGATATTATAAGAGAAGAAAAAAAACGATAGTTTCCACTTCAGTATAATATTATTATTAAAATTCCAAAATTTTGTACATACCTCCATTGAGCACTGATATAACCAGCAATAAATCATAGCACACATACACCGCAGTTCATCCTATCTCCTTATCTTATAGAATATAGATAACTGCGGTACTAGGTCGACATACCTTCTGTATAGCATCCACCGTAGTTTGCACAACATCTTGTACGCGCGATTTACCATTATCAGCTGCAGTTTTTGCCGCTACCTGATGAAATATAGGTGAAATATTTTATAAATTGTATTATTATCACATCAGCTCTTCGATCAACAATAACAACTAGATATCGGGTTGGCGCAAGAAAATCGTCTCGACAAATAAGAGCTCACTTGAGAAGTGAGCTCTTATTTTGTTTAGTATGCTCCAAACACGGCCAACGTACTGACGTCTCACGATGCCGCAGTGCGTAATTGCAATTTGCAAAAATAATAACCGAAAAAGCAGTATTACGGCCAGAGTGTCTTACTTACGATAAGTCCATAAAGTATACGTTATATTTTAAGCTTTTAAACTAGTAAATAATATCAAATTAGACAAAATTACCAATTATAAAACAACACCACCAATGTTTGTGCGTATGTTGGCCAAGCATCGCCAACACGCGCACAAACATTTGTTTAAACAGAACAGTGGATGCATGGAGTCGATTTGTATTGTAAAATAAAATTGTATTGTAACCTGATTGGAATACAGTACCTAACCTATGGAGTTTCTTGCTCGTTCTGTTCCATAGGAATCTACACCTAGGAATGAGCAAATAGTTCACTTTTAAATTTATATTATTGACGTTCAAAAGTGCCTTCCTGGTCTAACTGAAATAAATGATTTTGACTTAGACTTAAACTTTTAATAATAAAGTAAATAAACATATCATACACAAAAACGTACCGCTAATAAAAATAAGTGATGTATACTAAGATCCCGAAATATTAATTTTCATAATTTATAAAATTATTTTAGTGTTCAACGCTACTCCATACATACCTCCTGTAGCGAAATTCGAAATTCGAAAAACAAAAACGAAACAAAACAAAACGATATAGCATTGCAAGGCAATAACGGAAAAAGTATCTTTATTTGTTCTAGGTTAAGGTTGTATTCAAACTAGATATTGAATAACTTATGTCTTTTAATTTCTACATGACAAGAGTAAGAAAATGCTTTTCTCGTCTTATATGACAAATGGTCGTAAGTATTAGATAATATTTTGGCGATTTATGACTTTATTATTAGATGCCATGGTTGTTATTAGGTTGACCATAAAACCATTTTAAAACATTTTTCTCTGTTTGTTATTTTTTTACTATTATTATTCACACGGACAGAACTGGAGCTTGATTTTGTACGTAACCCTTTATCTAGTTGCTATTGTTGATCGAAGCATCAGCTATCTTCATTTCTAAATAACAACACGATTTTGAACAAGTTAGGTTACATTTATTTATGTATGCAATTGCAATTTAAGATTTTGTAAGAATGTATGAGGTATTCCTAGTAGCGCTCCCGTTTTGAAGCGCTCCCATCTAAGCGCTCCCGTTTTGTTCATCCAAGTGCTCCCAAAAGGAGCATTTCGAGGAGCAATTAAAAATATTAAAATTTATTTCCTCGATGCGCTCCCATGAATAACTTTCTGATAGAGATGGGACTAATTGAAATTATCAATAATAACTAGGTAATAAAGATAATAAGGTAAACGGGATCGCTGAGATGGGAGCTCTTCAAAACGGGAGCGCTACGAGGAATACCTCGAATTTTTACGAAGATTTGTTTAATCTTATCAGAATAATCTTATTTCAAAAATTTTAATTTTCCAACATTACTTTTTATCGATTACAAAAAGAATTGGTTTTATAAAATTTATTTTAACTAGGTATACCTATTTTAATCTACCGAATTTTCCACTTTAACAACTCAGAAACAAAATTGAAGCATAGATAGTGTACAATGAGAATGAGTAATATAAATGTTATACTGTTTCGAGGACTGTCATTTAATATGCAGTGTTCTTTAGACATACACTAAAATAAAATTGATAACATGTTTTATAAATAGTTACCTACTTTTATTTTTAATTATGTAAATGTGTGCAGTTTGCAAATATAGGTACATACACATAGAACATGTAAAATTTGTTACCTATAACATGAACATGTAAAAATTATATATTACACTGTGACTCCTAATTAAGGGTATGTTTTCTTTAGTTCTTTTTATTCATAGACTTAGTTGTAGTTAATTTTAAGTGGTAAATATTTATGTAACTATATTTCATTCAGTATTGTTATTAAATTTCATTACAAATTATCAGTATTTAATGCATTTCATTTTAATATCCAAATACTGGCTACAGATTCATTATATTGAATGTGAAAAGTGTAATTATTGATTAATCCTTTAAAATGGGACCTACAAATGCTTAACCATAGTTACATTATATTTATAATCATATATTTAATACAGATTAATTTATAAGGATAGGAATTCAAGGAATACTAGACGAAGCAACCTAGAATCATCAATATTTACTATTTTGTAACATGAAACACTAGTGTGAGTAATGTGTGCTAAATAACTAAAATAAATGAATTATGTAAGTCCATGGTCATTAGCAGTGAAACTAGGGCAATGACATTTCATTGTCATAACAAAAACAAACAAAATAAATTTAAATCGTAATTTGTGAAAGACATTCGATGGGCCAGAACATTAACTAAAAAAATGACGTGAATAACCGACGCACTTTCGCGCGAAACTACCAGGATGGCATAAGTTAGCAAGAGTCACTTACTTGTAATGCTTCGAGTTTTTCACCAGCTCTGTGCTTCAATTCATCCATGTCAGAGCGTCACGAGCCGATGGAGGGTCAGCGTTAGCCGCTTAAACTGTTAAATCACATCCAAAACCTTAACCTTTGGACACAATCCGGCCTAAATAATTGCAATCCCAAAATAGACCGAATGTCACAATAAACACTTACGTGAACGCATTTTGTGAAAAAACTTAGTGGTATATTTAATTTGTAATACAGTTAACTTTACGAATTATGTTGAAAAATAGCTTGTAGTTACGTAAAATTAAAATTATTACCTTATCCAAACATAACCTCTATAAATTGTTTGACAATTTGCATTTTAAATTTTTTGACAGTTTGACATTATGATTACGATTCTGACATTTATTCAGGCTGACGTAGAGGCGCAGAGGTAGACTGCGTTCCATTTTACGCCGCATTCAACTTCTTGTTATCACAATAATCACTCAATATCATCGAAATAAAGCATTAATGAATAGAAAAAAAACATCATCGAAATAATAGAAAAAAATAAGTAAAGTTATTACTACATTATATTTTGCCCCAAAAATGTGTTCGCTTTAGAGAAAATAATATTGTTCTACATAGCAGCACAACCCAGCCCGCCGTCTTTTGTATGTACAAAGTGCAGAATGAGATTAAAAAGGTATATATTGTTACATGTATACTTATCTTCTGTTTTTTTATCGATCGCCCTTGCTTGCTCGAACGGACTTCCAACACAGACAATAGTTTCATTATGCTTTCTAATACCCTTCTACTTCCATACACACTCTGCCTTGACAGTTACATAATCAGTAACTTGATTCAGTATCATCCTAAACCTAATGAAATGACTTTCAACTCAATGCCATGCATTCATTCAGTGACGTATACATATACTCAGAGTAGGATAATTTTTGGGATAAACACTAGAAATAGAGAAATAAATAACATGACATTACGCCTTCAACCCCTGAAGGAGTAGACAAAGGTGCACTTAACGGCACTTAATGCCACTGTACAATTTAACACCCACTTTTCACACCTACATACATATAGACTATAGTAATGTGAATACATACATTTTGTTATTTTGTAATTTTGTAAATAAATCAAGTACACTGTGATCTCTGTAATCTACGTGTGTTATGGCGTAATAAATGTTTTTTTCCTTCCTCGTTCATCTCGCAATGATCCTGCACATTAAATGTGGCTAATTAATGAGGGAATACAATTTATTGCTATTTAATTGTTCTAGGCTCCAGCTTATATATGTGAATATTAAACGAATTTTAACGTCTACTGAAACTTGTTTTATTGGGGAAGAATTCGTAATTTTTAATTACTGATGTATTAGGTTTGACAAAACACAAAAGTGACAAATTAAAAGTCAAAATAAATCATTTTACGGTTGTACCTATCTTAGTTTTATTTTAAAAAATAAATTATACATAATATTGTACTATAATTATTAAGGTATCAAATAATTTTATTTTATATCGACTGGGATAAGATTTTCTGTACTGTCAGCACTTTCCGGATGATCAGGTATGTCTCCAAGCACTTTGTCAATCCATAATCGACTGTATGCAACCTAGAAAAAAAAACGATTCAATTTCTTACTTCTGCTTTATTATGAACTCCTAGTACAAATATATACCTGAGACTACTAGGTATATAAGAGCTCAATAATTGTAGTAAATAAATACGCCCCCCCCCCCATTCATCTTAGAATTCATTCATTTTTGTGGGTAGGTACCAGATTTACTTCGAAAAATCTGCTATCAAAACACCTAAGTAAATTATGAACATTTCTTTGTAAGTTACCTAGGCTTAAGTATTTATAATTCCTTTCAAGAACCCTACACTTTAGTTATATTGGTAACATGATTCCTGAAAGTGGAAGACCCCAGGATTATAACGGTATACAATTTTTAATCTTGTCTTCATTCCATTAATAACGAGTCATACTGAATTTTTGTCTAAATTAATTTCCAATCACCAGTTTTTATTTTTAATTACCTTAGCAAAAACTCCTGGTTTCGATTTGTAGGCGCACTCTTCAGTGCCGGAAAATAGTGCTATGCCGTAAAGTGTGCCTGCGCGATTCATTCCACTAAAATGAACCGCCGGATCACCTGTGTCACCCTGGTACCAAAACATTGAGAGAACTGTTACAATTGCCTTTCGTCAAGGTCTTGAATATTTTGGTTATAATTTTTTTAAAGTTTGAACTAGCAAACAAGTAACGATGTAGGTCGGTAGTTCTGAAGCATGTAAAAGAGCATAATTATTCCAAGACATTAGAAATTCGATTAAAAGGAAACCTTCTGCGACAGATATAACACGGAATATTTTGTGAAAAGTGGGTAATTAATAAATTTAATACTAACGGCACATAACGCAACTCCCTTTATAACGCTCTCTAAGCACATATTGTCATGTTGTAAATGATAATCATTCCCATAAATCAAACGACATTCGCTTCGGGATATTTCTCGTACAATCATTCGTCGCAATTCTTGATTCTCTCCTTCTCGAATTTGTCCAGTCACCTGTAATTAAATGTAGATCAATAATTTTGAGTGCCATAACTTCTATGTGTCTCTAATATCCTAGTACTCGTAGATTAGAAGTAACGTAATACTTGATCTTTACACGTGCGCATAAATTACATCGTAAAAAGTTCATCGCACTATTAGAAATTGAAACTACGAAACTACTACTATTTTTCCAGGTCACTTTTCTATCTCATATATTTGAATGCAACGTGTGGTAGGTACGACAAAGATAGATAGATGAATAGACAGATAGCGGTTTTTCGTAGATAATGACGGCTTTTGCAACACTATACGCATGGCCTTGGCGGTGTGCCAGAGAGCCGCGATCTAACACTTTTCAATCATGGGAACCTGGTACCCACGGAAGTAAATACCAGATTGATGCTCCCATTACCTACTTACCTACATTGAAGTGAATTTTTTTCTTCAATATTTATTCATATCTGCATTTTCATTGTTATAGGTATTGTAAGAAGCAATAGCTAATAGACCAAAAATAGAAGTATAAAAAGCCTAGGCTAGGATGTAATTAAAAGAACCAATTTTCTAGATATGTTCTTCTTCATGTTCATAAAAAGCTTGATATTACCACAGAACCATATCCAGTAACGACAGTTTCTCCGAACAGCGGTGGTAGATCAGCATCAGGGACTGCTAATGATACGACCTGCATTCTGCTATTTTCAGTTATCGGCAGATTCACCTGTAATACCAGGAATCCATAGGTAAGTTGAAGGTTATAGTTGCTTCATACTTAGATTGATAACTATCTAAAACTTAGTGAAGACTAATCTTGACAATTTATTTCCTTATCAACTCGGCTAGAAAGATCACCCAAATGCTATCTGATCTACAGAATTAAAGTATATAAGCTCCTCAAATAAATAATGAGACCAACACATCATCAAAACCATCGTCATCTATGCGGTTTTGATTATTTCCTGCATCCTTCATTTCCTATTGTCTCGGTGATCGTACAGAGCGATGGTGTCAGGCAAAATGGCAGTAGGTTTGCCCCTGTTTTAAGGGACATGCCTTGCCTTGCCTTCCCATTCGACTTTATTAAAAGACGTGACGTAGTATTGTGACTGATGACAGTTACGTTATATTTTACCTTGACCATGGCTAAGTTATGTTCAGGATAGTACTGATCCATCCTATAGTCCGGGTGTCTCTTGATGTCAACTACTGACAATATTCTTCCGCCAAAGTCTCTAAATACTGATCCCATTCGAACTGATACTTCTTCTTTTGTGACGCTGTTGAGGAAGAATACTTAATTTGAGCCTATATTTAAGTACTATTATGTCGAATACGTTAGTTTCATAGTCAAAAAGTCGTTATACTGCTGTCCGCAAATTACTGAAATTAAATAGTACCTACTTTGTAACTAAACAACCTCTTCATCATTTATGTTACCCTAAAACAAGTATTATTATTCCCTTCGATTTCTAAATTAATTCATTAAACTTTATGAATGTCCGTTCAAAGGGCATTCTTATTAATAAAAAGTATGGTTCTTTCAGACTTCATTTTAGCATTAACCACTACCCTACTTTTTACATGTTATTTACTCGACTGTTTATCGATAGATATTCAAGGACGATGACAAAGACTTACTAGTCGAAACACTGTGCTGCGGTGAGTATCCACACTTTTCCAACAATCGCTCCACCGCACCAGTGTTTTCCATGTAGCCTGGAAAAATTATCAAAATAAATTACAAAAATCTTGTTATGAATTTTCCATCAACATCACCAGCTTATGACACTCTCCTGAATTATGGACCTCCTCTACTTAGGTAAAGTACACTAATAAGCCGATTTGCCATAATTATAATCACCTTGCAGGTTAGAGGCTATAGTTAGGTTTAGCAAGTGACCGCCTGACCAGTCTGTACCATGAATGTTTTTTTTTTAATAATATCTCTGTGGTCTGTACTGTTGTAATTGTAATCCATTCTCACTTTAGCTTTACCACAGGGCTTCAATTGAGTAATGAATATTTGGAAAATTGTCGTATTTCTTACCTTACAGATACCGTGTAGGGATAGTCTTCTAGACAAACTAATCCAGTCTCAGTCGTTAGTCTTTTTCTCCTTACGTGAGTGAGATCTTCTTCCATTTTAGGCGGGAATTCGCATTCTAACTCTGTCTTTTTTGTGGTCATCTTGGCTGAAGCAAAAGAAAGAACTCTTGTGAACTTCTCATCTCCTAGTACAAGTGAACTTTCATTGTCAAAGTAGAGTAGTAAAAAAACGTTGCGTGTGTAACGACAAGAATTAATTCTTTCTTTGATGCAAGTAAAATTTGCATGATTACAAGATCAGTAGATTTCCAGATTTTAGTTTTATTAATTTTAGCACTGAAATTTCAACAGGTCCAGATGTTTTTGGAGTTTTTTTATGTGGACATCTTTAACTTGTGTATTGTGTAATCTATCTACTCCTTTGCCTACTATTCCAAAAAAATTACAATTGTACTTATTGCCTAATTCGTATTCGTAGAACCTAATGGCCCAAATTTAGATGAGCTTCTAAGGTCGAAGTAGGCATCTACCTATTTGAAATACCTACTGATCAGATTTTATTTGCCCTCCTACACAGAACCAACAAGTTTTTAGACTAGTAAAATTTATCAAAATTATTTTAACTAAGTGTATAAATTCGCACATGTCCATAAATAAACTTTCTTCTTACCGCTTTCCACAAATACATTACGGTTAAAATGATAAACTAAAACTAAAAAATACGTGAAATACTGAATGCACTCCATTGATTTCTTGTAATAAATTGTACTAAGTAGGTTAGTTAGTGTTGGAAAAAGTTCACATTATCTATCCATTTTTTTTAATGTTGAAAAGACGTCGAATATTGTGTAAAGTTCAGAAGTAACTAAGGTTTCTAGGTACTTTCACCTAATCATCAGTTTATGAACAGTTAGTTATTCAAACAATAATTGTGATTAAGTAACAACGCATTGTTTCCCTGCAACAATAGCGGAATTTTGTAAAACAAATGTTAAAAAATTACATCTCACTAGGAATTCATAATTTCTAATGAGCTATGACACAGCGTATTATGACGTATTTCTATTTTACACAGGGCTAGAAAGTACTTAATTGAGTTAAGTCAAATATCTTCGAATTTCATGTAAGATTTCAAAATAAATCTGATTCCTCGCTCCTTCTATTTCAGTGTCACTTTTCTTTTGTAAAAATAAATCATTTATTAAAATAAGAAAATTCTGAAACACAAGGTACGATAATGTACCTACTTTACTGTAAACATTGCGCCTAACATCGAAACACTGAATGGAAGTAATGGCAATCATCACCTCTTAAAAATCGGAAGACATCATCATAACCCATCTACTATTGACGAAACAAAGATCCTATGACCATAAGCATGTCGCGGAGAACCTAACGGGTTACCGGAGCTCCGGCTCGACGTGCAGGAGAAGGAACGGGGTGGTTTTTAGTCAGTAAGAGTCTGACACTCCCTCCCGCCTCACTCAGGCGGGAGCAGTCATTCGATGATTTTCCCCGCTTAAAAAAAAAACTACCGTAAGCATCAGCCACTGCCCTGGAGGCCTACAATCCTACGCTTGGCAGGCGGGGCTTTGAGTATTGCTCTCTGAATTTTTGCTCCAATATCCTTTGATGAAATTATTAAGAAAAGTTCGTGTATTCTTTCAAAAAGATTACCGTATATAAAAAAACCGGCCGTAATATTGTACATAAATATTAGGTAGCAATAAGACACGATGTGCTACGCGTGCTACGCGACGTTAAACAAAAATCTTTTAATTTTTTTATAATGATATCTTCTACAACATGTGCGCCTGGTGATTCACTACGTAACTGACCTTTTTGATGGACACAGTGACACAGATTTTTTTTTATTCTGATTGGTTGGTTCTTATCGTGCGTGACTGGTTATCTCTTAATCGAGAAAAAGATAAATGTTTTTCGACAGCTACTTTTTATCAACAAATGAACATAATGAATTATGTACTTTTTGCCATCTCTGGACATCAATAAGTCTTTTGTCTGCAGCTGACACAACTTCGCACGGATGCTATGAATTTGTCTGGTAGAAATTGAATGTACTACGTCTACCTAATCATTATAAAAATATACTTTTATGCTTAACCGAGGAATGAGACTATAAAAAACTAAACAATATATATTATTATATTATGAAGAAGAAGATTCGTCATACAAACGGAACATAAAAGCTTTATCCAATTTGGTGCTGTCATTCTCGAGTTTTACGCTTACATACATTTGACAGACAAGATACGGTTATAAAAACATGGAAAACTGTTGTACAAATATAGTCATATCTACAAGATTAATTGCTTTCATCGAACATTTTTATTTGTCTAATTGAATAGTCGATTGAACTCTTCTTTTATTTTTTACCATTGTATTTAACACCTGCATTTTGAACTTGAAAAACATGTTTTAAGTTCATTTGATACACCTCGGTGATGAACATTAGTTGGTCAAACTGCCATGAATCAGTTAATGTGTTCTTTGCTTATTTTCCTAATCGTTTTTATAATTAATTGCAATTCAAGAAGTTCAAGTAACAAAGATTATAGTTATGAATGCAGTCTAGAAGAAAATCATGGTGTTGAATGTGATAACGGTGATAACAATATAAATAATAAAGGTATTAGCAACATAAACCTTCCAAGGCCTCAAAAAGCTAAGGAAGACTCCTCGTCAGATCGAAGTGATATGAATTTAATTAAAGAAGAAATTAAGTTCGTCAAAGATAATAATGGATTAGAAGAAGATTCTACAGAAATTGGTAAATAAATAATTTTAGCTTACGAATACGCTGGCTGTGGGCTGGGCACGGTACATTACCGTGCAGTGGGCGTTCGGTAATTCTATTGATAATGTCAAAATTAATTGATACAGAGTCGGCCTCCATCGAGAATGTAACTTGCGAATACCAGAATAGCAGCATGGAAGAAGAAGATGATAGAGAGAAGAGCACACTCGTTGATTATCCGTTCTCTGTTTCTATTCAGAAAAAAGGGGCGCATTACGTTTCTGGAGCCCTAATTGATAAAGGATTTATTTTGAGTGTAGCTGCAGAGTTTTATCAGTAAGTAATTGTACGCGTGGTTTGTATAGGTTCCAATAATTTATGATTGCCTACTTCTCGATTAAGGGCTCATTTTTCAATTATCGGAATAACTTTGAATATTTGACAATTCTTCCATACTAAAAACTGTCAAGTGCCAATTTTATTCTACAGTTAAGAGTTAACTGATGATGGAAAAAACGACCCTAAGAAATGCAACTCACGGATGGGGCCCAATAGGGTTGATGCCGATTCGGGGTCGTATAGAACCTAACGGATTGTCGGTTACCGGGGGGCTCCGACTCAAAGTGAAGGAGAAGGAACGGGGTGGTTTTTAGTCAATAAGAGTCTGACACTCCCTCCCGTTTCACCCAGGCGGGAACAGTAATTAGATGATTTCCCCCCCTTAAAAAAAACAATGCGACTGCCAGTGGCAAAAAATTGAGGTTTTTAAATATTTAGGTCCTATGATTTTTCCTTTACATGGTATTATTGCGTATCGTATATAGTTAAGATTAAGATTTACGCATATTGTAAACATGTAGTACGAACACAAATAATAATATTTTGCAATAACTCGGTTACATGATTGTTGCATTCTCATAATAATTCTTGTGACAGAAACTACAGAAGAGTTACCAATGCTGATTAATTTATTTACCATATTTCATGTTTTACAGCGTCCGGGATTCCTTAAAATTATTTAGAGCGAGACTAGGATCCGTGGACTGCAAAAGAGGTGGTTCATTAGTCCCTATAAAAAAAATTGAAATCCATCCATACTACATCTATGGAAAACCAAGTTTTGATATCGCTCTGTTGAGGATGGCAGTGCCTGTAGAATATTCTGAGGTTTTAAGACCAATTATAATTTCGAATATTAAAGAGAAGGTGATAAGTGCCAAGTTTATGACAACATATTGGCCGAGGATAGTGGTAAGTTTTCAATAAGCCTTTCTGTTGCTATAGAAAGAGTAACTCATCAATGGATTGAAATAATATTTAAATCTATGTTCTAGGTAAAAGGAAAAACAATACCAGAAACAGCAAAAGAACGAATAAAACATAACAGCATGCGGGTATCAACTCAGAAGTTGATTCCATTAGATAAATGTAAAAATATTATGATTGATATGAAAGAATATATCAACGAATCCAGTATGTGTCTGAAGCCGGTAGTTACTCATCATAGTGTGTGCATGGTAAGTGCGGCGACCCAAATTATGTGCATCCTATTTGTTCTGCGCGCCTAGTCTAGATGTTAGGCTGATACTAAGTTTCCGCGTTGTATTTTTAATACTTTTTCATTGTACAAAGTATTAATTTAATGATTTAAGCACCTCGAAATCTTGGAGTGCCATAGATAGAATGCATAAAATTGCTTTTTTCTATTGGTCTTACCTAATACTTACCTACAGTTTAACGAAAAATAAAGGTCTTCTTAAGTATCTACTAAACCTAAAAACCTCTAATGCGACACAACACTCTGGTTCATATCGGCATTTTTTATATTTTCTTTATATGTAGTGTACCTAGTAATAGAGTAGTTAATATCTTGATTCACCACGATGAAAATGAAGAAACGGTAAGTTACAAAGTTAAATTTTTATTCACAGCCCGATGCCGGGGCGCCAGTAATAGCCGAAGATGGCCTTTGGGGCATTACGTCCGGTTGGATATCGCCAACATGTCCGACAGTTGCTGCTCCAACAATATTTACGCGACTCTCTTCAACATCTGTGCGCTCCTGGTTAGACATTCAACTACTTAATATTTAGGTTAAGGTTAACCGCTATGCTTCCTCTGCTCTTATAGCATTCCAAACATTTGCAACAGGTTGATACAACATTTTGTAACAAGGGTAATATAACGAGGCGCGAGATAGACAATCAACCGACTATATGTTATATTTATATGTATACTAACTCTTATCACAATCTTCTTTTGTACATGCACTCCTAGTAGAGTGCACAGCTGATTTTTGTTTCATCAGTCCAACTTTACATTGCAATGTTAATTAAAGTTTATTTATTTAGTTACATTGTATTCAATATAAATTGTATGTTTGTAACTACGTTCTAGAGAATTTATTTACTTATTGCTTCCATATCATACTCATTGTTCTCTATTCGATTAATTATTTTAGTTTATTTATATTTTGTACATACATAGATATATTGTTGTAAGTAGAAATAATAATCATAATTATAATCATAATCAATTTATATAGCCTATAAACCTGATATAGTGGTGATAGACCGACAAATACGATATCACCATCGATGTCACCATTCCCCATGACGAGAACCTCGTGAAAGCTGAGAAAGATAAACAAATAAAATATCTAGACTTAGCTCACGAAGTTGTCGACATGTGGAATGTGGATTCGGCTATCATTGTGCCGATAATCGTGTCGGCCAATGGGTTAATCCCTAAAAGCCTCGACATCCATCTCAGGAGGCTGGCGTTAGGTGGATGGATCAAGGGCCTGATACAGAAGGTAGTTCTCCTAGAAACCTCACGTATCGTGAGGAGGTTTCTGTCTCTGGAGCCCTAACCACCGGTTTCTATTTTTAAATATTATTTTTTTATTGTGTAATTAGTATTTAAAAATGTAATTTATAGAGAATTTTAAATAAATATATGAAAATCATAATCATTTATTTATTTAAGACATCAAAGGTCCACTGTGTTAGTAACAAAATCAAAAATACGAAACATCTTTACAAATATTATGTTAGTAAATAAAAAAATAAAGACAATTAGAAAATAATATGATGAAGTATAATTTAATAATTTTTTTAACTGTTAAGTATGTCTTTGTCTTTCTTCATCAGTGAACTTGGCATGAATAAATTGATAGGTACTAACTAACATAGTAACATGAGCAAAACAAAAAACCTCCACTTTAGAACCCTCGCCCACAGGCGACTTTTTGTAGCGATGCAGTCACGATGCTGTCGCGCGTAGCATCGGTATTATCTGTGTGCCCTCGCCCACGGAACCAGATTCAGTTACGATACAAAACAAAAATTACTTGGATTAGTACAGATACAGATACTAGATGGACTCCGTTGAGGCAACGTTAATCACGCTGTCTTTGGTGCTGCTTTTACGAAAGCAGCTGAAGCGTAGGCAATAGAAGCAGCGTCAATATTGGATGTCGTCCGACGCGGTCGCGCGTTTGTATCGATACAATCGCGTTGCAGTAGCACGTTGTAGCGCGTTTGCATCGTTATTACAGCGCGTTGCAAATGCGACTAACACGCCAAAGTGCTTTCACATTAGGACGTTAGCAGCGCGACAGTAGCGCGGCAGAAGCGCATTCCTTCACATTAGAAGAACAGCAGCGCCTCTGCCGCGCCGCAGTTTAGTTCAGTGTGGCGCACTTCATTTCTGAAATGCATAAATAATAAAATAAATAATATATCATGCATATAGTTTAATAAAGTAGTGTACACGAACTGATGAGCAAGATGGGCCTGCGCATTAGGAGCAAGATGGTTAGTAGCCGCCAAAAAGTCTGTATATATCATTTTTCTATACTTATAATAAATCTGTAGAGAAGTCAATTCTGTACATAAAATATATTTAAAAAATAACTATCAGGGGTGGTTAGGGATCGCTTCTGATGCCAAAAATGCAATCAGTAAAATTTTTGTCTGTCTGTCTGTCTGTCTGTATGTTCGTTATGGAAACAAAAACTACTCTACGGATTTTAACGAAATTTGGCACAAATATTTTTCATACTCTTGGGCAGGTTATAGTATACTTTTCATTACGCTACGATCAATAGGAGCAGAGTAGTGAAGGGAAATGTTGGGAAAACGGGAGAAGTTACTCCATTTTTTAAGCTTCCGTCGCGTGTGCAGGCTTAATAGTTAAAGCTACATAGAAATCATGTATGACGGAAATGTTCCACGTAAAATTATGTAAATAATATCCCACAACAGCACATGTCTATCTTTTATAGTTGACTTACAATAACACGTGTAACTCCCGATAGCTTAGCAGTTCGGAGCTTTCTGCTTATATTTGTTTACTCTTACGTTTACAATACTCATCCATAGACTTTACGCTGTAAATGTAGGGCCGATGGTTGAAATTAGCTTGACTCGATATTATAAATGTGAAAATATGTGAGCTTATGTGTTTGTGTATGTTTGTTACTCAGTCATATTAAAACGACTGAAGGGACCGGAATGAAATTCGGAACAGAGGTAGAGTATGGTGTGAAGTAATACATTGGCATTTTCCCCCTGGGATCGCGGGCGAAGCCGCTGGCAGAAGCTAGT